TAGCGGCTCCTGCTGCTGCTGCTGCTCGCTGCTGCTGCTGCTGTGGAACAGCCTGCGGACCCGCACGGCCCCGCGGGCCTTCTCGTCGGGGCCGCAAATAACAGCCCACGGCATTTTGCGAGCAGCAGCAAAGTCCAGTTGCTTCTTCAGTCTTGCTTCTTCTCCGTAGAACATTTCGCAGCAAATGCCGCCCCGCCACAGCAAACTAGCAGCAGACAACGCGTACCTGCAGCAGCAGCAGCAGCAGCAGCAGCAGAAGCGGGGGAGGGGGAGGAGGTGAGGGACGCGCAGCAGCAGCGGGAGGGCGCAGCAACGCAAACTCGAACAAGCGGCAACAACCCACACACGCACAAACCAGCAGCAGCAGCAGCAGCAGCAGCAGCAGCAGCAAGTGCAGCAGCTGCAGCAGCAAGTGCAGGGCTTACGGGAGCATTCCTTCTCCGATATTGCAGACGAGGACATCGGTCAGGTCCCTGCGGACGCCGTCTCCCAAAAGGCCGCTGCTGCTGCTGCTGCTGCTGCTGCTGCTGCTGCTGCTGTCTGCTGCTGCAGCGCGAATGCCCACGCGCTGCTCGAGGAGGGCAAAGAGGCGCTCGACGCCGACGGAAAATCCAACAGCAGGAATTTGTTTGCTGCTGAAGATGCCGACGAGTCCGTCGTACCTGCCTCCGCCCGCAATGCTGCTGCTGCAGCACGTGCTGCTGCTGCTGCTGCTGCTTTGCTGCAGCAGCACGGCCTCGAAGATGAGCCCCGTGTAGTAGTCCAGCCCCCGCGCCAAAGACCAGTCCCAAACAATAAACTGGGAAATGTTGAGGGCCTGGAGGTAAACGAGGAGCTGCTGGAAGTCTGCTGCTGCTGCTGCTGCTGCAGGGTCTGCGAGCAGCAGCTCGTCTTGCTGCAGCAGCTGCAGCATGGAGGCGACGTCGCCGCGGCGGCGCACGTAGCTGCCCAGCTGCTGCACTGCAGCAGCAGCAACGCCCTTTTGCTGCTGCAGCTCAGCAGCAACAGCTTCCCAGGGCTCTTTGTCGAGTTTGTCGATGGAGGAGCAGACAGCAGTAAACTGGGCTGTCTGTACACCGCAGCGCCGCAGCAGCGCGTCCAGCAGCAGCCTGCTGTTCACCTTCACCTCGAAAGACCCCACAAACGCCCCCAGCTGCTGCAGCACCTCCAGCAGCAGCAGCAAACACTCTGCTTCCGCCAACATGTGGGGTTTTGCTTCTCCCAAAATGTCAAAGTCGCATTGATAAAACTCCCGAAAACGCCCCCGAGACAGCTGCGGCTCGTCCCGCCTGTACACCTTCCCAATGTGGTACCTGACAGCAGCAGCAGCAGGTGCA